CCCTCTCCCTTTTGTTTTTTGTTGCAGCGTAGGGGTGGGCCTTTGTCTCCTGTTTCACACTGTTGTCTTAGGAACTGAGGTAAAGTTTGTTGATAGGTGGGCGGGGTAATGGAAGTCTCTGCCTGGAGAATAGCAAGGTAGTTTAAGCAGATCTGTTTTTCTCCACTTGGTCTGGGTCCCCCGGCTTGGGGTCTCTCACTGAGTGCCTCAGCCAGGGTGGGCCTGGAGTTCCAGAGTGCCAAAGCTCCAAAGGGCAGGCAGTGGGTGGCGAGAGTGGCTCTGGGCCCCCCACAGGGTACTTCAGCCAGGAATGGGACCAATGTCTCTGAGGGGTGGGCGTCCAGAGCCTCCCTGTGTGACCGGTGACTTGGTGCCGGGTGCCGGGCTGGAGACAATGCAGCTGGGGAGAGAGCCGGAGGGGGCTGGAACCGAAAACTCCCACGTACACAGTGGAATAGCAGCGGCAGGAGGCTGCAATATCTGGCCTTAGGAAATGAGGTAAAGTTTGTTGATAGATGGGCGGGGCAAGAGAAGTCTCTGCCTGGAGAATGGCGAGGCAGTTTAAGCAGATATGTTTTTCTCCGCTTGTCTGGGTCCTCCGGCTTGGGGTCTTGCACTGAGTGCCTCAGCCAGGGTGGGCCCGGAGTTCCAGAGCTCCAAAGTTCCAAAGGGCAGGCAGTGAGTGGCGAGAGTGGCACTGGGCCCCCTGCAGGGTACTTCAGCCAGGAATGGGACCGGTGTCTCTGAGGGGCGGGTGCCCAGAGCCTCTCTGTGTGACCGGCAGCTTGGTGCCAGGTGCCGGGCTGGAGACAATGCTGCCGGGGAGGGATCTGGAGGGGGCTGGGACTGGACACTTCCACACATGCAGTAGAATAGCAGCAGTGGGGGGGGGGCTGCAATATCTGGCCCTGCGTGGGACCGAAGTTCCCGGGCCTGGCACCAGCACGGTTGGTGGTGGGCTGGGGGATGGAGGAAGAGAAGTAATAGCCTTTTTGGGAACTCACGTTCAGAGAATCTCACCAGTTCACCTATGCCATCGCCATCTTGCTTCCAAGCCTATAAGGAGGTTTTTATGTGTGTCTATGATAGCTGGTAAATAATTCCATCTAATTAGCATAGCAAAATGTAGACCACATAAAAGTGACAATGACAATGTTTGAGGTACCTGAGTCTATATTTGGAAATGCAGTTTACTTGACTGTCTAAACAGAGGTGTTGTCATAGCTAGTGGACAAAATCCAATTACACCTGAATATTTTTTCCTTTAATTATTTCAAATTATTTTATATTCCAAGGTGAATAACTTATTTTAGATTTTTGGATGCTACTATGAGTATAACTTAAACATTGTATATTTGCTAGTATTACCATATTTTTTCCAATGAGAATTTGAATAGGTTATTTCAATTATTGGGCTCATATAAAGCTATATGCTATAGCTCATGACAGAGAAAAGTTGTTTTGCGTAAAATCATTTTTTTTCAATATTATCACATCAATTGTGAAGATAAGCACAGCCAGATCTAGTTTGAAACATCTCTTTTATAATTGTGGGTCTTATGAAATAAGGAATCAAGATTTAAGTATATATAGGCATTACACACGCATACATGAGCATTTGAAGGACAGTTTCCTGAGCTTGTTCATTCAACATTGCATTTTAACAAACATTTATCAGATGCTTTCTGTGAAGCAAGCAGTGTTCTTGGTGTTGCAGTGTTATCACTGAATAAAAATTATCAAACTTTCATGCTCATGATATTTACATTTTAGTGTGGGAAACAGGTGATGAACAGATATAAAAAGCTTATAGTAACATTGTAGTGGTTGATAAAAGTTAGAAAGAGACATTATGATTAATGTTTAGAGAATGTCAGGGGATGTATGTGGTATGATGTTTGCTAGTATATATTGGGGCATCAGGATAAATCTTGCTGAGAAGGTGGCATTGGAGCAGTGACCCAGTGAAGTGTGAAGCCAGCCTGGTGGATATTTGGTATAAGGTAGTCCAGGCAGAAAGAACCACCACATTCTCAAGTGGGATCTTCCTGCCACACTGCTTGGTGTTCAGAAAGGTGACAAGTGTGGCTTAGAGCTGACTGGAGAGTCATAGAAAATGAGATTGGAGAAGTGGCCAGTGGTCAGGTCATGTAAATTTTTTGTGGGTTATTTTAAGGACTTTGGGTTTTATTTTAGAAGTGATGGGAGATTATTGTAGGATCTTGAGCAGAAGAAACCATGGAGGAAATAGTAATGATATCTAAACATTTACTTATTTTTCTCTTAATATCCCAAATGTTTTCTTATTATCCTGGTCTCAAAAATATTTTCATAAAAAAAAAAAAAAAAAAAATCCACTATTTTCTTCTCAAGCCAATCACAGTGATAATTATTAAAGAAGCAAATGTCTAAAAACAGTTCTGCTTTAGTTTTATTGCCTTATAAAAGAAAATGTAATAGAAATTTAATAAAGTAAATAAAATCAAAATAGCAAAAACATGAATTGAAGATTTTTAGTGTGGAGATTGTACATAGTTGTGGAAGCCAAGAAACAATTTGGAACTCTACCTCTATCTTACTATGGGAACATTGTGATTTAATAAGTTTTCCCTAAAAAATGTATAGGAGTTGAGGGAAAGGGGAGACTTTCATTTATTGATTTTTTTTTAGCACTCAACATATACACAGCTTTTTAAATATTAATTTTGTTTCAAAAAAATTGAAGCAAAAACTGTCAGGAATAATGTAAGAAATATACAAATCTATCATAATTGAATATTTTAATGCCCTTTTCTAATTTATTGTTAGAACTACAGGAAAAAAAGATTAGGATATAAAAATTTGAATAAAATTATCAACCCCTTGACCTGAATAATATTTTCAGAACACTACATCTAACTTCAGAATGCACAATATTTTCAAGTGTATATGGAACATTAGTCAAGATCTTAATAAAATTCAAGTCTAAAATTTTCCAGAATATAATTTCTGGCAAAAATGAAAGTAAATTAAAAGTTAATAAAAATAAAACTGATAATGGCCTCACATATTTGGAAACTTTTAAAAAATGATTTCTTTACCCTTAGGTGAAGTTAGAATCAAGGGGAAATTAGAAAATATTTCAAACTGACTTTTAATAATAACATGCAAATATTTGTGGGATGTAGCTAAAGCACTGCTTAGATGTGGAATTTCAACTTTAAAATGCTAATGCCAGAAAGGAAGAAATATTTAAAATCAATTGAGTAAGTATCAACTTTAAGAACAAAAAAGAACAAAAGTGTCTTTTGTATATGTTTTTTACAAGTACCAAGAAAGATATTACTGTCGTCTTTTAGATGAGAGAAGCAAAGTCATTTAGAAACTTCTTAAAGATCACAGAGCTGATAGGTAAAAGAATCAGCTTGAACCTAAATTTGCCTCTATAATTTCAAATCCATCACAGCTGCATAATCTTTACTATTTTTTTCAATTCTAAGAGATGATGAGAGTTAAAAGATGAGATGTGAGAGGAAGTGTTAGGCATGTTTCAATGAAGACATGAGGAAAAGAGGGGCTATTGCCTTCACCGTACCAAAAAGACTCTGTTGCTGCAAACCCTTTCTGTTTATTTTTCCTCATAGATGTTGCCACTCTATAAATATTGGTCATATCCAGAATCATTTATATTTAGTACTGTCAGGAGTAAAGAATGCGAATTTTGTCAAGTTGGGTAAGAAGAAGGAGAGCATGTGCATCTGTGATCTAGAGAGCCTAAAATTAACAGTGGTGAGAACCACAAGAAGGCCAATGGGTAAAAGAGACAGAACCCTCAAAGATACATGCAAGGAAATGAGACCCTGGAGTTGGAGACCATCATACATAGAGGTCTATTAAGAAACAAAGCACTGAACACTGCATGTTCTCATAAGTGGGACCTGAACATTAGTCACATTAGCACAAGGGAGGTATTAGCAGTTGCTGGGCACTAGCAAGAGTTGGGGTACGGGAGGGGGTCATGTAAACAACACAAAGAGTACCTGGCCTCCAACCAGGGGAAGTGAAGATCAACTAGAGGCCCAAACTTCACCTGCATGCAGCCTACTTGTATAGTTAATCCTTACTTGTCCCCTACATCTCTATAATAAAATAAAATTTTTAAAAATGTAATACTGTTGAAACATAAAAAGTCAAAAAATAAAAAAAAGAATTTACTCTGTGCTTTTAAAGTAACCCCTTGACAGAGATATGCCTGTATTCCTTACTTAAACTTTGATATTTAAATAAATAGGTTTAATTCAAGTTATCATATAAGAAAACACTGTATTCATTTGGATTAATTGTAAATGTGTATGTGTGGTGAGAATCCTCAAGTCACTGTTGCCTCAATTAGATGTAAGATGTGGTTTTCATGTGAAAATCCAGGAGTAGATATTTCAAGGTGATAGGTTGCTTGGCAGTATGAGGGATTCAGTTTCTTGCCAGCTTTTTGCTGTGTTATGAGTGATTTTTTTCCCCTCAAGATTATCTAACATTCTAAAATGCTTGCTGGTTCTCTGGACATTGTATTTCAGCAGAAAGCAATGAGGAGAATGGAAAGGATGGCACTCACCATCTCTTTAATGCCATCCTTTGGACATTGTATATTGCTTACATGCTTGACTTAGTCCCCTCAGGTTGGATTGCAGCCTATGGTGAGAGTTGGCAAATAAAGTTGTTCTTCTGAGCAATCACATACTAGCTAATGACTGAATATTCTATTATGATGGAGGAAAAAGTGAATGGATATTAGGAGTCAACTTGAAGCCCACAAATTCAAATGGTTAAAATTCACACAGAAGCAAAGAGCACATTGGTCATAATGTAGCTATGGTTATCACTAATTCTTGCCATAAATCATTAGTAATGATATATTTTTTACTGTTTCCATTGTTTACTTCCACTTATAATACTGCCAAATCAAATGGAAGAATGAAAGTGATCTGTTATTTTTATCTTCCATTTTTTTCTCTCTTTCCATAGGTATCACTACAGTTCTGACAATGACAACTCTGAGTACAATTGCCAGGAAGTCTCTACCTAAGGTTTCCTATGTGACTGCGATGGATCTCTTTGTTTCTGTTTGTTTCATTTTTGTTTTTGCAGCCTTGATGGAATATGGAACCTTGCATTATTTTACCAGCAACAAAAAGGGAAAAACCACTACCAGAGACAAAAAGCTAAAAAATAAGACCTCGGTATGTTAAAAACATTTTTGTTTCATAAACTCTAATTTTCTTAGACATGCTGTTTTGAATATTCATGTTGTATTTGTTTAGAGAAATAGGAGTGCTTGAGGCACCAAAGCAAAAGACAAAATTAAGATGCAATTGGAGTGCCGAACATTGCCCACTGAGAAAAATGTATTCTATTTTTCTAATATTCCCTATTGGCTCACCTGTGTAAAGAGTGGCCTGTTATGTTCAGAATTTTTTCACAAGTGGTAGCTTCTTTGTATCCAAAATATTATTAAAGATTTCTCTTTGATTCTATTTTTGTGTTAAGATTTGAATTTCTAACAGGGAAAGGTCCACAAAATTAACTTATAGTGATAAAGATCCCTCTTTAATGTGAGCATCCAGCTGTGTTTGAAAGTCACTGCTGTAAAGTTCCTTTTTTGCATATTTATACTTTTCTCTCTCTTTCAATCGTATGTCTACTTTATGTTATATCACATCAAGTTTGTATATTAAAATTGATTCTACTGATTCTAATATTTACGTGTGGATGATTGACTGTAAATTTTATATTAGCAATTACATCTATCTGAAAGTAATATCTAACATTTTATTGAGTGCTCTAGACACTCCTCTGAGTATATTTTAAGGGCTGAACTCTGGTGAATTTTGCTTTCAGATTTCCAAAATATTCCAACAAAGCACAACACATTGCTGGTAGTGCAAATTTGATAACTTGCATTATAGAATTAGCATCTAACTCTCTCAACTTGACATCATTTTTGCTTATTTATAATATATCTTGTAGGATGTATAATTGTGGCCCTGAATGAACAAGCCATCAATGGGCAATAAGAGCAACTGTAATAGTCATTACTTAATTTTTAGATAAAGAATAATGAAGGCTTTCTACCATTTTCCTTCCATCTAAGCCAAGTATCTTTTCTGGATATTGCACTTCATCATTTACTCATCTATAGCTATATTTAATTACTAACTTGAAATTTTTACTTCTGTAATTTAAAAAATTATTTTATTATAGAGATGCAGGGTGCAAGTAAGGATTAATTAAACAAGTGGGCTGCATGCAGGTGAAGTTTGAGCCTCCAATTGGTCCTCACTCTCCCACGTAGTGGACCAGGTACCCTTTATGTTGTTATGGGTCCCTCCTCCTTGCCCCAGCAGTGCCCAGCGACTGCTGATCCCTCCTTTGTGCTAATGTGATTAATGTTCAGGTTCCATTTATGAGTGAGAATATTGGTATTTAGTTCTTTGTTTCTATGATAGATCACTAAGTATCATGGTCTCCAACCTTATCCAATTTGCTACAAAGTCCATAATTGTGTTCTTCTTTATGGCTGCATAATACTCCATTATGTATATGTACTACATTTTCTTTATCCAGTCTACTTTTGGTAGACAGTATGGTTGGTTCCATGTTTTTGCTATTGTGAGTAGTGCGGCTATAAACATGCATGAGCAAATGTCTTTTGGTAGAAAGATTTATGTTCCTCCAGGTATATTCCCAGGAGAGGGATTGCTGTATCATGTAGAAGGTCAATTTTTAGTTCTATTAAGAATCGCCACACAGGTTTCCATAGAGGTAGAACTAGCTTGCTCTCCCACCAACAGTGTAGAAGCATTCACTTTTCTCCTTACCAGTGCCAGCATCTGCTGGTTTTTGATTTATTAATAATGGCCACCCTTACTGGAGTTAGGTGTATCTCATTGTGGTTTTGATTTGCTTTTCTCTGATTATTAATAAGGCTGAACATTTTTTCATGTATCTGTTGGCTGCTTGTATATCTTCTTTTGAAAAGTGTCTATTCATGCCCTTTGTCCACTTTTAATTTTTTTTCCTTTCAGCTTATTTGAGTTTCATGTAGACCCTGGGTGTTAGGCCTTTGTCAGATGCATAAATTGCAAATATTTTTTTTTCCCATGTTGTGAATTGCTTCCTCATTCTCTTGAAGGTTTCTTTTGTTGTGCAAAAGCTTTTCAGTTTGATAAGGTCCCATTTGTCTTAGCTTTTATGGTATTCACTTCTGAGGATTTGATCAAGAATTCGTTGCCTACTCCAATGTGTGTAAGAGTACTTCCTATGCCTTCTAGGATTCTTATAGTTTGATGTTTTACATTTAGATCTTTGATCTATTTGGAGTTGACTTTTGTATATGGTGAAAGGTAGGGGCACAGTTTCATTCTTCTACCTGTGGTCAGACAGTTTTCCCAGCATCATTTGTTAAATATGGTCTAATGACCCCAGTGGTTGTTATTGATGGCTTTGTTGAAGAAGAGTTTGTTGAGAGACCAAGTTTTTGCTTCTGGAATCTCTGTCCTTTTTTATTGGTCTATGTGCCTATTCTTATACCAGTAACAGGTTGTTTTGGTTACTGCACACTTGTAATAAAGTTTAAAATCTATAAGTGTAATACCTCCTGCTTTGTTCCTTTTGCTGAGATTTTTTTTGTTATTCATGTTATTTTTTATTTCCATATGAATTTCTGTATCATTGTTTCCATGTCTGAGAAAAGTGATGTTGGTAATTTGATGGATATTACATTGAATCTGTAGATCGCCCTGTGTAGAATGGACATCTTAACTATATTGATTCTTTTGATCCATGAGCATGGAATGGTTTTCCATTTGTTTGTGTCACCCTTGCTTTCTTTGAACAGCATTTTATAGCTATTGTTGTAAAGATCTTTCACTTCCCCAGTCAGGTGGATGCCAACTTACTTCTGGAAATTTTGATTGGAAATGTTTACAACAAAAAATCCAGGCAATGGTCAATCTCACGTCAATTATCCAATTTCATTTAAAGAATACATAATTTAGTTTATATATTATTTAAGGAGCTACTACCAAAAGATGGTTGCTCTAGGATGGCAGCTAATCAGCTTGACTCCAAATCACATGATTCTTAGCCATGGTTCCCTTTATTCAGTCCTTATTAAGAACCTCCATATTTTAGGCACTATTCTAAAATAGTTACTTAAGAAAAAGATCTATATGTTAAGTCTTTAAAATTCAGCATCAAGCTCAGGCTACAAAATATCACTGGTGGAAAAATAGGGAATAAAAATTAAATGATAACTTTGAAGATAAAAATGGCCAATAGCAACAGTGAAATTGACATAATTGACCACTTGGGTGTCAAAAAATATTTTCTTTAGAGACATTCAAAATAAAGTTCTATAGTCTTTTTTCTTTGTTCAGTTATGTACTTTATGAGTTCTTTCAGTACTAAATGACATTTTGAGTGAAAAACCAGGATCAGTAATCAAATCTGACTCCCTGAATGGTTCAGTGTTTGCCATATGGTCATGCTAATCAGGTAAATCAGAATGTACTTTTTTGAAGCATAGACAACTCTGCTTGCTAGTGTCTCAAGTCCTCTGTTTAAGGCATTTGTAAGTTCATGTTTTTCTTTTGTTCTATACCAGAACAACTAAATGTGCAATCTAGACATGGAGCTCTTGTAGCATATTGCTATTACACCTCTTGTCATTGCTTGGAATTTTATCCTGTCCCTTTCTCTTTCTCTCTTTCTCTTTCTTCTTTCTTTCATATCCGCATTTTCTTTAACCGACTTAAAATTCTGAATAGTTTTAAATCCAGAATTTTCCCCTTTTATTCTGTAAATTATTTATGGCAATGTTTTGACCAAGACCTTGGCTAGAGTCACTGAAAGGTCAACATATCTCTTGCTAAGCAAAACTAAAATCCCTTTCTTGACACATCTTTGACTGTTTAGCTGTGGATCTCAGAATATCTTGATTTATTTTTTTTAGAAAGAGATGATATTGGAACAAAATAGATTTGTAGCCTGAATGAACCCTCTAAAAAACATAAGTTAATAAAGATACTGCCTACCTTACTCTCCACATGAAATATTGGACTTGCTCTCTCTCAGTCTTTTGGCATAGCTTTCTCTTTCCTTCCTTCCTTTTGCCCTTCCTTCCTTCCCTCTTCTCTTATTTCTATATTTTCCTTTTTTTTTTTTTTTGCACATGTCAATGACATTTTGGATTGGTCCGTATTCCTATCCAATATATTTCTGTTCTTTTATTAATTGGCCTTCATTAAGAATGTGATTTAGATGTACTTGTGCCAACATTTATTTTTAAATCTAAGAAGTTAGGCTAACAATGTTGAACTATATAATTCAGACCCTTTATGAGACAGGTAAAGTATCACAAAAAGACTATAGTAGTAAATTAGCCATCACCAACTAAAGAGCTGAAACTTGAATATTCAGCCCATAAATTATTAGTAATTATAAGAACCATCTTATAGCTACTCTGGGGCTTGGCATAGTCATTTGAGGACAGAACTTATTTATTTTTTGACTCTTGTTTTGATTAAAATGTAAAATGATATAATTTTATTTTGTACCAACTATGGTGTAGGCACTTTGTAGATAAAAGAGATAGACTGTATTCTTGGCTTTCAGGGATCATTAAATTTAGTTGTGAAAAAATGCATAACAAGTACAAACTTAAGATAATGAAGTACAATATAAATAACAGTCCAATATAAAAATCAAAAGTAAACAGGTTGTGAGGGACTTAACGAGATGAGCAAGCCACTTATGCTTTTGAGAAAGCATATTTTTTTACAACTATACATAAGAAAAAAAAATCTCATATTTTATGAAAACATTATATATAAGTTTGTTTATTTGTTTGTTTGCTTATTTATTTATCTTTGGGTCAGAGTTTCCTTATGCCACCCAGGCTGGAATGCAGTTGCACACCCATGGACACTGCAGCCTCAACCTTCTGGATTCAGGCAATCCTTCCACTTCAGCCTTCCGAGTAGCTGGAACTATAGGCATGTGACCACCATGCCCAGTTATTTTTCAAATTTGTTGTAGAGGTGAGGTCCCGCCAAGTTGCTCAGGCTGGTCTTGAACCCCTGGGCTCTGGCAATCCTCTGTCTGCCGCCTCCCAATGGGTTGGGATTATAGGTGTGAGCCGCCACCCCAAAGCCCAAGCTATGTGACTTTTGCCTAGCAT